AAAATGGTGGTGAGGGTGGTGGTGGAAGTAGTCGCCTAGTCTTTTGCGATAAGTCGGTGGACAAACCAAAGCCAGTTGTACACATTAACGCAATGCTTAACCCAAATCGACAAGAACTGATAGGAGTACAACATAAAATTTGTAGTAAACGCAAGAGAAGAAAGGCAACGTGGTGGCTTTCCACTACCTGCCGGTCAAGATACAGAAACAATTTCGGAGGCAGAGGCAGGAGATGGGTCTACATAATGCACCGCATTCATTCTCTTTTCTCCTTGAGGTCCAGTCAATTTTATTTACTTTTCCCCTTTGCCTCCTTCGCGTCTCCGAAAATTAATTTGATAACAGAAAGCCAAACGACACCAAATGAAGGAGTTGCATATTCGTGCGAAATTCGGCCAAGTGGTTTGTGTCGCTGTCACAAGTAAACATCATTGCCCGTTCTGTGACAGTTGTGGCAACTCCTTAACATGCATTTTGCCCCCAAGAAAGCAAGACTCTCCCCTCTGATGTGTCGTTGCTAGGAGACGCATCCGGCACTCACACTGGTACTCACGGTGTAATGAAACGTGAGCAGAGAATAATGGTCATTCATATTCGAGCCCAAAGGAGAGCTAATGAGGCACAAACGAAAGTTGGTGTACTGGTAAGAGTTAGGGGTGTAGGAGAAAGAGGATTTGGAGAAACAGAAGAGCCTGAGATAAGAAAAGTGGACATTATTTTTTCTTACGTTTGACTAACATTTGAGGGTCGTCAATGTTTAGGACAGGGCAAAATTTGGCGCTCATTTTGAACGCCTTTTTTGTTTCCAAATTGATAACAACAGAGGTGACTCACAAATGGTGATGGCAATTGATTGGAACTGCGTCTCAGTCAACTTGTAATGCGGTGGTCCGGAAATACATCTCCTCTATAGAAGCAAATTTAATTCATTGCGGTAATTTTTTGGCAATTATTTGCGCAGGAACAAAAGGAAGTAAAGCGATCCTTTTCAGTTCTGCACTCCTCCCCCCTAGATTGTGGCCCTCATCTTGGCTTCATGCGGCATGCTATTCCTCACCTACTTCGACCCCAACAATATCGGCTCGAAGATCATCGCCATTTGTGGAGTCGTTTTGCAGGCATTGTTTGCGGTAAGCTGTTTCTCACCTTCCGCTCTTTCGTGTCCACCTTTTGCACTTTAGCTCACCCACATCTGCGCTTTGGCCATGAATAGTGGTGAAGTTCTGCACTTGAGGTGTTTAGGACCACCTAAACGAACCGTCCTACACAGCCAACCTCTTCGACCTGAGTAAAGGCTTGATAGCTAGACGAAGATGTTTAACTTAAAGGCATGGCAAGTTCCGCCTTGTTTTGTTTGACTGAGCCCTCAGTGAATAGTGATGCTCCTGATGTACACAAACCCATCGAGGATGTTTAAATGGATTCAATCACAAGGGAGTCGCCTATGCAGAC